AGAGAAAATCTTTATTAATTTAGAGCAAAACTAAAAAACAAGCTTCTAATTGCTTGGGATTGGTAGTAACGCGAAATTACTGGCACATCTTGCTTCACAAAAAAATTATTAAAAAAAATAATGTACAGGGTGGACTAGTGGGAAGCATGGTTTTAAGTTTTGCCTGGAGAGGTTAGCTGGGGACAGACCACTTAGATTTCTCTATAGCTTTGATTTGCAAGACAGTTTTAGCTATGTGGAGGGATGTTGAACCAGTTCTGGTAAAATCGCAGTCACCATTGTGCCTGCAAAAGCTCCAATATGGGTCCTGTGCATATTTATCAGGTCCTGAGTTACTGTCATAGTTCGTGATTAATGATTACTACTATTCTTGCAGCAGCTGGGCATAGAGGTTCTTAATCACAGAGCTCTTTTGGCAGATATTCTAGTCACTGTACATTGCTGGTAAGTGGGACCAGGTTTGCCTCATGCTTTATATCATGTGTAAAAATGTTGTGTGTCCAGAAGTCACATGAGACGGAGTGCAGATGAAGCTGGTTTTTGCTTTTTGCCAACTGAACAGTCACCTGTCCAACTAGCTTGTGTGGGGCAGCATTGTCACTGACAACCACTATTCTGCCATCAACAAGTTGTAATCATGAAAACACCAGGTTGGTAATGATGCCTGCTAGAGACAGGAACTGCAATTGCTGCAAACTAAAAATGTATAGGTGTGTGCGTAGGGAAGAGGGGGCTACAAACAAATGTGACACTTCAGAAAAAAGGAGAAAAAAAACCCAAAAAAACTATTTATGATTTATTTTGTTGACAGTGGTCATGTGATTAGCTGTAGCAGATATTTAGAAGCCACTGCTGGATCTTGATAGGAATTGAAGCTTATGTCCACATAACAGTACCAAACAATAGAGGTTTTAAGTCACTGCCTAAATATGGTGTTCTGGTAATGCATGGTTATGGACTCTCCAGGCAATGGAGGGAGCAGAGGGTGACGTCAGGCACTTTAAGAAACAAGTCAAATCTTTGGTTAATTCTGAACCCTGACTCTCAAACTGAAATGTGAAGGGGCACAATCATTTAGGATTGTTTCACATAATGAACTGCACAGGAACACAATGTACACTCCTGTGCATTTCACATGCAATCTGGGTGCAGTGCGATTTCAGCCCATTCATTTGAAAGGGGTGAAATTGCACTTGGACAGCTCCAAGAGTAGTGCATGCAATACTTCATAAAATGCACAGCAACCTACTACTGTACCATGTGATCCAGTGCAGGAAAACACATTTGTGATCTGCGTTTGGGACATTACCAATGACACCTGCTATAAAACATAACCAATAAAAAAAAAAAAAATTTTTGGGAAACAATCTAAATTTCTTCATACCATTTAGGCCAATATGTATTCTGCTACATACATACAAAAATCCCAACAAGCGTACATTGATTGCAGGCATAACTTTTTCGCAAACCAAACTATGGAATATATATTGGAATTTTTTTACTAGTAATGGCGGCGATCAGTGGGACTGGACAATCTGACACTTTGTGGGAATCAGTGACACTAATACAGTGATCAGTGCTAAAAATATACTGTCACTACTAATGACATTGGCTGGGAGGAGGTTAAACATCTAGGGTGATCAAAGGGTCAACTGTGTGCCTAACCAGCGTTTGTGTGTACTATAAAAGGTGTTTTTTTTTTTCTTAAGGGATGTGCTGGATTGTATTCCCTGCTTTGCAGGGGGGGGGGGGGGGGGGGGAATCCAGCACATCGCTGCTGACAGGACATAGCTCTGCCTTGTTTACACAGAGCTGTGTTCTATGTCTCTCCTTATCATATTATTATTCACTCAAACACAGTTCATATTTGTTTTAGTGTGTTCTCCTTTACTGCATTTTTGTGCGTTTACCAATTTCCTCCATAGGGATGAAATGTGCTGCAAACAAAATGCATATAGGCGGTCACTGGTGATCTTTCCCTTTGAGAGTGCTAGTTTTTCTGTACATCATGCCAAGTACCTGCATCTGTCCTAGTATCAGCCCATTGCAGTCCCTGTAAAGCATGACTGCAGTGACAGAGACAAGATCTAATCAGTGTGCAGCTGCCAGTAACAGGCTGTGGCAGGTCCAGGTAGGAAGGCTGAAATTACATAGTCTAGCTGAAAAAAAAAAAAACCCAAACCCCCCCCCCCCCCCCAAAAAAAAAAAAAAAAAAAAAAAAAAAAAAAAAACCCAAAAAGGTCCATCCAGTTCAACCATAAAAAAAAAAAAAAAATGAAATGGAGTTGAATGAAGCTGGTAGACTGATCTAGTTGCAGAAAGAAGAAAAATAGTAGAGCAGAGGACATGTCTTGATTGAGGGCCTGCTCACATCAAAACATGGTTTGGGAAAGGTATGTTCACCTGCGAAGCCCATGTGAGATGTGCGCAGGTGCCCATTAATTGTTCCTGGCACACAAATGCTGCCGGCTACCAAGCGCATGGTAACTGCGGCAGTTTGCGGCTTTGCAATAGTACTTGCGTTGCTTTTTAGCGCATGAATGGGCTGTTGAAACTAGAATACAAGGGACCAAACAAGGAGCATGCCAAAGTGAACCAACCCAGAAGCTTAAGGGCTCGTTCATGGCTGGTTTGCAACACTTGCAAACGCCCCTAGTAGCATTTGGCAAGCGTTGGTCCGGCGTTTGCGGAGCGTTTAACGCTCGGCAAACGCTCCGCAAACGCCGCATTTTTACATTTCAAAATGCCTAAATGCAGTTTGCTGTTTACCGAAACTAGAAAACGCCAAGATGAGACTTCAAAGCCTCCTGACTCGTCCAGAGGTCAGCATCCCGTTAGAACAGCACCATGTGCTGTAACCAGAGGCCGGTAAAAACAGAAGCCTGCACACAAGGCTTAACGTAGCCCAACACTATTTTTTGGTTTTTTTTTTTTTTTTTTTTTTTAAAAGGTTCAGTAATTTATTCATTGATATCTTATTTGTAAGTTCTGCTTTAAAGTGGAAGTAAACTATAATGCATCTCACCTACAGGTAAGCCTTTTCATTAAAAAAGGGAAAGAGTGCGCTCAAGGGGGGTTTGAAGGGAGAGCACGCACGCGCAAAGGGGAGAAAAAAAAATTAAAAAAGGGAGAGCGCTCACTCGAGGACTAAAGGAGAGAGAGCACGTGCTTGAGGAGAAACCGTGAGAGCAAGAAGAAGAAAATAAAAGAAAGAAGAGTCAGGGTGAGAAAAACACAAATGTTAGTCATCCCCTTGCTGTGCAGCAGACCTGGTTATATTTTAAGAAAGGTTGAACAAATACACCTGTCCTTTGCAGGTAAGTTTCCAAACATGTATTTAAAGTAAGTATTGAGCTGTTTGCTGGAGTTCAGCTTCAACACAGAATGTCAGGAGGTCACATGACATTTGGGAAGTTGCAGATCTTCCAAATGCCAGACCTCAAAACACACCATGGTAACTGCCACTGTGCTCTTTACGATCTGTGCCTCCCCCTACTTCTGGCTTGTGTACAATAAGGGTAGGAGAGAGATTATCCTCTTTAGCTGTCTAGGAGGGAGAATTATCAGCTGGAAAATGGGGTTGTCAGCATTTTGCTGATAGAAAAAACAAAAAGATAAAGGATAATTGACTTCAATGCACAAATTGCGTCCCATTGACTTCAATGCAAAAACATCCATTTAATTCTTTTACATTTTATATACTTTTCATTTTCTGTCCAATTTTCATCTGTTACTTTCAATAAAAAAAAGTTACTTTACTGGATTGTACTTTATTTTCATATTAAATTCACAAAAAAGTGACAAAAAAAAAAATAAAAAAAAAAAAAAATAAATATATATATATATATATATATATATATATATATATATATATATATATATATATATATATTTTTTTTTTTTTTTTTTAAAATTAACACAATTTTTTATTTATTTATTTTAACTGTCCCATTTCAGTTTTTGGCCAAGTGCATCCTGGATTTTCAGCCCAGTTTTCATTTCGGTGCACCACTACTTTTTACGGATAAACAGTATATGCCATATATAAACAACATGTGCGCCAATATCATATGACATAAAAAAACTGCCAACTATCACTATTTTCTTCTCCTGGCTCCCTGCTTTCAGAAAATGTGTGGGGGCTTTAACTAATCTGCAAGGCCTAAAAATTGTGCATTTTAACACATGTGCAGAAAATTCAAAAAAGCATTAAAAGCCTAGCATACATTTAAAATGAAAGATATTTTTTCTAATTCTATTAATAAGGCAGAAACAATTGAGTACTGACGTGATACTTTTTTTATTTGCACTAACATACAATTTTGAGGACAAGCTTTCGGGGTATGTCCCCTTCTTCAAGGACCCAGCAGTACTATTAAAGTTTTTGCAATAGTACTGCTTGGACCTTGAAGAAGCGGACATACCCCGAAAGCTTGTCCTCAAAATTGTATGTTAGTGCAAATAAAAAAAGTATCACGTCAGTACTCAATTGTTTCTGTCGCAAGTGCACTAATATGGCTACATTCACCTCTAGTAATAAGGCAAATTTGGTGCTTAATCAAGAATTTAGTTGTGTATGCATTTATAACAAACATGCTTCTATGACAACAGCAAACATTTTATAGCTACCTAAAGACAAGTAAACACACCAACAGAGGTGGCCTTCACAAAAAGCTTAAAGAAAAACAGACAAGTTACACAACAAACCTAATCCAGCTGCTGTGAATGCAAAGTCAACCTTGTAATTTGCCCAACAACTGGGTACTTTACAGCATGTTACATAGTCTCAGTTAAACAATATGCCCACATACCAGCTGCACGATTTAGTTTGCTGAACAAGAAGGATAGGCATGCCAACTCACCAGTAGCATGAAGTTGAGATAAAGCTAAGCCATGAGTTTACAAACGTTTGTAAAAACAGGACAGGACAGCACTGCATCAGATACAGCATGCTAAAAAGGTCTTGACATTTTTGTGGGATAAGATTAGCACTTACAAACCTTTTCGGAAGGCAGAACACTTCAGGCAGTCAGACCTGGAGAAATCGATGCTGACATAAGCTCCCGTTTCCAAATTTCTGCTTCCATTCTGGTGCTGACTGCATACCGGCGACGTAGGCTCGCAGACACTGTCATGCATACTCAGAGCTATGTAGTTTAGACCATGCTGAAAACCTGTAGAGCAGTTTCTAGACATTTTCTTCTCTTGATCACAACTGCTTTCATCAGGTTTCAGCCAAACGTTGTCAAAAGAGGCAGAAACTATGCCTTTTGCCACTTTCAGTAAAGCAAGAGGAAGTTGTTGTCACTGTGCTGGCAGAGGAGAAAGTTTCAGAGCTGTGCCTCCGTCTTCCCTGTGGATCAGCACGGATAACTTTAGGAGCAACTACAGTTTCAGACTTAGGGTTGAGGACAGGGGGGAAGCCACTTTTAAAGGAGGACATATCCCCAATACACAGCCGATTTACAATAGATGATGGGCTATCCAACTTCGTACCATTTTCAGTTTCATCCAGAAAAGGTCTTGGGGGAGTCATTGCCATATTAAAAAGTCATTGTGGTGTAATCATCATTCCTATTATTTGTAGTAGTGACACAAGCTGTACCACATGGGAGCTTGGCATATTCTGCACTGGGCTGAACTCTGGAAATACCAGGACATGCATAAGCAGAAATGTCTGTTAGAGAGTCAGAAAACTCAGCGGTGGCTTTTGGAGACTGCACATCAATGTCTACACTCATGTAATCAGACAAGGGGGACTGTCTTTGATCACAACTTGAGCCCAAAGAAGATGGGGATCCTTCTGCAGACAGAGAATATGGAGTACTACTTGCTTTATCACTGAAGTCAATATTTATATATTCACCAGGACTGGTTGGCTCAGCTGAAGTAGAATGATCAAACATTCTTGGTATTGTATTGCTCCCTCTCATAGCAAGAGTAAGTTTAGTTGGCCTTGTAGCCCTGACTTGATGATTTAATATGTCACTGGAAGATTTCAAATCAGTCTTTGACATCCCATTTGTAACCCCATTCTTACACACTTCACTGACATTTTCCTCACCCATGTGCAGTAATGTTCCTGGAGAAGACATAGGAACATATTCATTATGATCACTGCAATGTTTTGAAGAACTTTTAAAGCTTCTAGGTAAAGAAAAATAAGAACTGAACCCCCGGGAGTTATTTAAATTAGAGTCAATAGTCTGTTTTGAGGTGCTTCCATAAGACATGTCCATGTACTCACCATTGGTGACTTTCTCTTGGCTGCCTTTAGAGGCATTTCCAGTTAATGTATTTCTGACAGGTGAACTGGCAACTGGAAACATCATCATATACCCTTTTGAATCCACCTGAGATGGGCACCTTGAAATGATTTCTTTTGGTGCAGAAACACTTTTGGGTGCCATTGGCAAATAGTCACTGTCGTATGAAACTGAAGGCATCATTGGCATGTAGCCATCATCCTTGGCTTTACTCCCACTTTGGTTACAAACAGAATCAATGAGGCCATTACTGTAATCCTCGGGGTGATTACTGTCTTTTAACTTTGGTGATTCAGAGTAGGCAAACTGCTTCTCTTCAGAGTTTTCATCAAAAGAAACAGCAGCATGGGACTTTTGTTGTAAGGTGACATGGGTGGGTTTAGTCAGAGAGTACGTTCTTTTCCTAAAACATTTGTCCGCTTCCATGTAATCATCCTGAGCACTTGGGTGGCTTTTCATGCTCATGGACATGTAATCACTGAGGGTGTTTTCTTCTTCTTGTATTGGTGGTGTGTTACCTAGCGAGTCTGGAGTATTACTTCTCACACGAAAGTACCTGAGGTCGCCAGGACTTGAGCCATACTCATCAGATGAAATAAAGCCTCCATCGCTAGGAGAGCCACACACAGAAGAGCTGGAGGGTCTAGTTAGGGTATCGGATACAGACCCCGGACCACTACTTGAACACACGTTTATTGGGCTTGTAGCTGAGGGAAAATGGGAAACGGGCAGGGAGGCTGATCTGGAGTGGTAGCCAGAATTAAAAGGTGCCCTGACATATCTTCCAGTACCTTCCTGTTTATTCAGGTTTATCCGTGCTGTATTTAAATGGATCAGGCTGCCAGTTACTGACCTGAATGGCCTGGTCATGGTACCTTCGCCCTCGCTGGAGGTCCTAAAGCGGTAAGAGTTGCTCTTGGATGTTGGAGGGGTGCCGGCGACGCTTTCAGTCCTTGACCTTCTCTGCAGACCGGTCTGGCTGGGGGGCAGGTTGCCCAAGTACCGCCTGGTGGTGATGAAGGAGATAGGGTTAGTACCGGAGGACTGGCTCTTGCTCCTCGGCCTGAACTCGGAGTACGCCTTAAGGGCTTTCATGGTCTCCAGGAAAGTCTCATGCATGTTCTGGGCCACCACGCAGTCATCCACCTGCATCCACAGCTCGCCAGCCCCTGTGGACGAGGAGCGACCCACCTCGATGAAGAAGTAGTTCTCCGAGTGGCCGCAGCGGCGGATGTTCATGAGCAGCAGGTGGACGCAGGCCACCTCCGAGTTCAGCTTGACCAGGTGCACGGCCTTGTTGGACAGGCAGAGGCGGTAGACCCCAGACAGGTTCTTGCTCTGGCCCAGTCCCCGCGGCTTGACGTTCACCTGCCAGACCTCCTTGAAGACGGTGCCAGCCCGGAAGCCCCCATAGGTCTCCTCCAGCTCATCGTCCTCGGCCAGGCAGGACTTCTTGTTCTCACTGATGAGCTGGCTGAGGGCCTGGTACCAGGAGTCCTGCTCTTGCTCGCTGTCAGCCACCATGGCGAAGTACTCGTCCTTGGTGTACAGGGCCAGCAGGTGCTTGTTCTTGGCGTCGGCCCGCCGGCTGACGGTGAAGCATTGGGACAGGAAGATGACCCTCTTGGGGGGTCCGGGACGCTGCAGACCACTCCGGAATTTCTTCTCGTTGTCATAGTACTCCAGCCGAGCCGGACCCAGGTGGCTGTGAGCCCGCAGTACGAAGTAGCGCTTGTGGCCATGCTTCTGCTTCCTCAGGTAGCCCCTCTTCTGCACGTCCTCCTCGCCGGTGACAACGCTCTCCTCCTGCACCTGAGCCAGCCGCCGGGAGCCGCTCTCCTCCAGAGGAGGGGACGGAGGATGAGGCTTCATGGCTGTCCGGCAAGCTCTGTCCTCCTCACCGCTCAGGACACCCGCCATGGAGGAAGGGAGGGGGAGCCCCGAGGGCTACTGGCCTCTCTGCTGCGCTTCCCGGTCTGTGCACGAAACCGCCGGCGTCCTGCCTTCCCACAGCCGGTGAATGAAAGTGAGCGGCCGCCTTCTCCCGCCTGACAGGGGAGCTCAGAGCACACGCATGGCGCTGTGTCTAGGCGCCGGGAATCTCCGTCTACCCGGCATGCACGGCTCAGCGGCGGCTCCTCTCCTCGCCGTACACATTCACCACAGACAGACTAGAGCGGGGGCAGGGAGAGCGGCACGGCGAAAACAACACGTGACCCCGCCCGCCTGCGTCACCTAGACACTACCCGCCCACCATGGAGGCGCGGGCCTCACCGCTCAATGACAGCCCGATCAGCCAATAGTAGAGCGCACCTAGCAAAAACATCCCGCAGAATGGGCGGGGCGAACGCTCTCCCACTATCGGCCCTGCCCATTTCTACTCACGCTTTAGGATGTAAACAGGCAGCCGATTGGTGGCTTCGGGGGAGGAACGCATCCTCTGCTAAAAAGGCGTGTTCCGTAGTAATAGGCGTGGTCCAAGGCGCTTAGGGCGCGGTTATTGGTCGAACCTGGGTGCTGTTACGGTTTGGCACACGGTGATTGGCTGAAATAGAAGTCTCCCTGTCCTACCTATTCTAGTGGGCGGGGACTCTCGCCTGGTTGTGAAGAGAAGTAAACAACAGTGTGGGTAGCGGTGGTGGCAGGAGGGAGTCGGTGTCAGTCTGGAAAGGAAACGTCAAATAAAATATGCCAAATGGATGCGGCGCGGCGGGCTGGACTGCGCAGTATCAGCAGACAGTGTGCACGCTGCGGCAGGCGGTGAGCCCATTCTGCGGCAATACTAAATCACAACAACACGGAGCGGGAGGACGCCGTATAGTCCCAGCATATCGGGGAGGCCCGTTCTGTAGTGTACATAGCAGTCCCCAGACGACATCTGCGCAGTGTCGCCGCCTCTCCGATCACTACCACCGGCTACCGGAGCTCCACCGCCCTCTTCACTGCTTTGCTGCTGTCGGGGAATCTCCGCAATCAGAACCTACCTGGTTTTTCTGATGCTCACTCTTTCAGAAGACCTCCATGGACATAAACATCTGATTGCTGAAGGATCACTCCACCCAGACGTGATATGTTACATATAGGTGGAGGCAGACCTCAGAAAGCTTGGCTGTCACATCACAAAAATCTACAGGCTTCATTCACACAGACATTTTAAAAAAACGCATTTACAAGCATTTTTTTATTTACAGATCTGAATGCCGCTGCATTGTTTTCATTGGTGACAGTCACACAAGTGTGTAAACATGCCCTGCCCTCAGATCTGTAATACAGAATCCAAAAATCTGTATCGCAAGACACAAGTCTCATGCAGGGGCGGACTGACCATTTGGAAACTCGGGCACTGCCCGAGGGCCCGGGGTCAGTAGGGGGCCCCATGAGATGCTCCTGGTACCTTTTTCATAGGCTTTTTTGAGTTTGGGCAAGGACACAGGGGCCCCATGATCCCCTATTGCCCAGGGGCCCCATGAGTTGTCAGTCCGCCCCTGGTCTCTTGTATGCCAAGTGCGGGTATTGGAGAAAAAAAATGACACCATGATTTGCTGATCAGAACGGCCCATGTGAATGTAACCACAGGCTGCTTTCACACAAATGCGTTTTTTACTGTGTTAGTCCAGGCTCACACCTATGTGTTTTCTGAAGTGTTTTCCGGAAACGCACAGCAGTCCATTTAACATGATTTCCTATGGGACACGTTCACATCTTATTTTCACCAGTGCATTTTTTGGAAAGGGTCAGGGACTTTTTATGAATGCAAAAAGTAGCATTTTTATTTCTACAGACTTCAATGGAAACGCTGCAGAAAAGCATGTAGTGCGTTTTTGCCACGTTTTTGATGCGTTTTGCATTTTAAATTGAGTCACCTGGTGCGTTTTTTGGAAAGGTTCAGTGACTTTTTTAACAGAAAAAGTTGTATTTTTGGTTCTATAGACTTCAATAGACACGCTGCAGAAAAGCATGTAGTACTTTTTTTTATGTGCTTTGCGTTTTAATCTGCCTAGCAACAAGAAAAAAAAATTAAAAACACAGCAAAAGCACATCCAAAACACATGCGCAAAAACATAAAATGCACTGCAGAAAACTGATCAAACGCAAATTGCATAGGTGTGAACCTAAAAAACGCAGCAAAAATGCAATTCCTTTAAAACCTCCCATCCCTCTAATTTCCATGTGTGCTGGACACGCTTAGTCTGTTAAAGGAAGTTAAAAAAATAACAGACTTACTGACTGGATCACTAAGTGACAAGGAAGAACAAATATAACAGAGAGGACCCTTCCTGGCTGACTCTCCATCTTCTTTCCCCCCCCCCACTCCTTTCCCATCTCTCAGGTCTGGTTAACACCCATGCATTTTTCACTGCGTTTTCAGTTTTGCAGAAACACACTACAGCCCATTTAACATGGTTTCCTATGGGTCACATCCACATCTGTGCATTTTCCATCAGTGCGTTTTTTTGGAAGGGGTCAGGGACTTTTTTCCAGCAGCAGGTTCCATATTTAGTTCCATAGACTTCACCAAAATGCATCAAAAACATAAGCAGTGCTTTTTTGATGCATTTATGGAGCATTTCTGCTGGTTTCTCCTACAAGACAACAAACACCTGACAAAAACATTAAAAAGTGTGCAAAAATGCATCAACCTCAACTTGTATACAGTGGGGAAAATCATTATTTGATCCCCTGCAGATTTTGTTAGTTTGCCCACTTGTCTGTCATTTTTATCATAGGTGTATTTTAAATGGTAGAGACAGAATATCAATCAAAAATCCAGAAAAACATGATACAAATGTTATAAACTGAGTTGCAGTTCAGTAAATAAAATAAGTGTTTGATCCCCTACCAACCAACAATAATTCTGGCTCCCACAGACTGACTATGGCTACGTTCACACTAGCCTTGTGTGCAGGTGGCAGAGAGGCGTTTGGGAAGCGTTTTTACCGCTTCCCAAACGCCTCTGCCAATTCTGCACATTACAGCACATGGTGCTGTTCTAACGGGAGCATTTGTCGCGTTGCGTCGCGGCAAAACGGACGCCTCTGGACGAGTCAGGAGGCTTTGAAGCCTCCTATTCTCGTCTATGGTGCCGCTCCGCAAACGCCCGCCGGCGTTTGCGGTGCGGTTGCGACGCGGTTGCGGGGCGTTTGCGGAGCGGTAACACCACTCAAACTGCATTATAGGCGTTTGTGGGGCGTTATTAACGCTCGGCAAACGCCTAGCAACCGCCGCTAAACCGCGCATGCGGCGTTTGCGGAGCATTTGCCGAGCGTTAAAAAATGCTCAGCAAACGCCGGACCAACGCTTGCCAAACGCTATAGGGGCGTTTGGCAAGCGTTTGCAAAACAGCCAAGTGTGAACGAGCCCTATGTGCTCATGTGGTACACAGATTAGTCCTGTCAATTTAAGAAGGTCTCCCTAAGGAAAACTCGTTATGTGTATAAAAGACACCTGTCCACAGAATCTTTCTTGGGCACGATCAAAGAGCTGTCAAAGAACATCAGGGACAAGATTGTAGACCTGCACAAGGCTGGAATGGGCTACAAGACCATCAGCAAGAAGCTTGGTGAAAAGGAGACAATTGTTGGAGTGATTATTTGCAAATGGAAGAAATACAAAATAACTATCAATCGCCTTCAGTCTGGAGTTCCATGCATGATTTCACCTCATGGGGTGAGGATGATCATGAGAAAAGTGAGGGATCAGCCCAGAACTACACGGGAGGAGCTTGTGAATGATCTTATGGCAGTTGGGACCACAGTCACCAAATAAATCATTGGTAATACAATACGCCGCCATGGATTGAAATCCTGCAGTGCTCGCAAGGTCCCCCTCCTCAAGACGATACATGTACAGGCCCTTCTGAAGACTGCCAATGAACATGTAAATGATTCAGAGAAAGATTTGGAGAAAGTGATGTGGTCAGATGAGACCAAAATTGAGTTCTTTGACTCAAAGCATTAACTTGAATCACCATGTTTGGAGGAAGAAAAATGCTGACTATGACTCAGAACATCATCCCTACAGCCAAGCACAGAGGTGGAAATATTATGCTTTGGGGCTGTTACTCTGCTAAGGGTACAGACCGACTTTGCCGCATTGAGGGGCCAATGGACGGAGCCATGTATTGTAAAATCTTGGATGAGAACCTTCTTCCCTCAGCCAGAACACCGAAGATGGGTTGTGGATTGGGCTTCCAGCATGACAATGACCCAAAACATACCACCAAGGCAACAAAGGAGTGGCTCAAGTAGATTAAGGTCATGGAGTGGCCTAGCCAGTCTCCAGACCTTAATCCTATAGAACATTTATGGAGGGAGCTGACACTTCGAGTTGCCAAGCGACAGTCAAGAAACAATAGGGATTTAGAGAAGATCTGTAAAGAAGAGTGGACCAAAATCCCTCCTGAGATGTGTGCAAACCTGGTAACCAACTACAAGAAACGTCTTACCTCTTTGCTTGCCAACAAGGGTTTCTCCACCGAGCGCTAAGTCATGTTTTGCTTGGGGATCAAATACTTATTTTACTCGCTGAACTGCAACTCAGTTTATAACATTTGTATCATTTGCTTGTTCTGGATTTTTGGTTGATATTCTGTCTCTATCATTTAAAATACACCTATGATAACAATTATAGATCCTTCATTTCTTTGTGAGTGGGAAAACTTACCAAATCTGCATGGAATCAAATAATTATATTCCCCACTGTAGGTGTGAGCCAGGCCTCACACTTTCTCCTCTACTTGGGCTACTTTCACACTGCTTCCTTCCTTGCAAAAATGCAGTAACGTGTTTCTGATGCATTTTGTACCTGTGAAAAAAAAAACCATGTGACATAAAAAACGCACCAAAAACACAACCGCTGGTGTGTTTTTGACGTGTTTTTCATTTATTTCAATGGGAAGGTGTGTTTTTTTGGTGTGTCCT